GGATCCCCCCGTTCAGTCGCCAGCTCAGCCGTGACGACCAGGGAAACAGACCCACAACATCCCAACATGGGGGATCGGTCGGAATCACAACGCGCGCGCGATGCTGCCATGGATGCTGCCGCTGGCGCTGACATGGATGCTGCTGCCGGCGCTGCCATGGGCGCTGCCGCGGGTGCAGCCGCGGATGCTGCCAGCAGCGATGCAGGCAACAGCTATGAGTGCGACCCTTCCAGGTCCTACCCGCGCTACGTGAACGGAACCCTCGTCGGGTACTACATCCACCGGAACAGGGTCACGTGGCTTACCAACGCTGAATGGTACACTCTGAATTACTGGCACCAGCTATCAAAATGGGAGCACGACTTCCGCTTCCCGCCGAGAGGGGCGGCACCGATGAGCGACACTGAAAGAGAAAGAGGGCGGTCTCGCACGCCTCGTGGCGTAGACGTACAGACGGGAGGATCGGCGCCGTCAAATCCGCCGCCTCCGGCGCGCCCAGACGAGAGAACGAGCACAATCCGTGGAAGGACCTGAACTGAGTTTCGCCCGCGTGACTCAGTCGCGGCAATGCATGCAAAACAATGTACCCACACGCGGAACGCGTGTTGGGCGCGGACACCTCTACTGGTCGGCTAAGCCGGTCCAGCGGAGAAAATTTATTTATCACAATGGTGGGAAGCGTCGAGCCTCTTCGGCCCTTGGCCCCCTGGCAGCCACCTTTGAGCTGTAAAAGCTTTTTCGGGTTGGCTCCGGTGGTTGTGCAAATGTACAGGCCGGGGGTGCTGTGGCTGGATGGGCTCTACGCGGCCCGCCGCGGGGGGATAAATATGCTCCTCTCCGCCTCATAATCGATTAAGACATAACTAAGTTTGCATGCATTGCATTGTCCGCTGGAACTGACAGCTGCGTTCCGCAGCTGTATGACTGCTCGAGCAAGCCAACCTTGGCTTGCAGGAGAGAAAAGGAGTGCGCTGGGGCGCGCGGGCGGCTCGTCGTCGTCCGTCCCTGGCCGACCTCCTCCCTTCACATTCCTGATAGAGTAGTCTTGCTTAGCGGGTACTTGTCTTATCAATGCTTCATCCCGCCCCCCTCTCTCCCTGAGCAGAGTGAACATGAGCTCTTCATTCCTTTGTCATCTTACCCCGATTCTCAGAGGAAAGACTTTCCAAGCATATGCATCGGCCGGCTCTGCCATCAAACGTTCACCGCTGTAGAATGAGTAGCACGAAAGTGGCGACAGTTGCGTAGATCGCAGCCCCCACGGCACCGCGAGATCCCGAGGTGGTCCGCGTGGGACGCGCTTCCGCTGGGCCTCCCAGGAGCCCGCGAAAGTGGCGACAGTTGCGCAGATCGCAGCCCCCAGGGCACCGCGAGGTCCCGAGGTGATCCGCCTGCACCTCCGCTGGCCCTCCCAGGAGCCCACGAACATGGCGACAGTTGCGCAGGTCGCAGCACCCAGGGCACCGCGAGGTCCCGAGGTGACCCGCGTGGGACGCACCTCCGTTGGGCCTCCCAGGAGCCCACGAAAGTGGCGACAGTTGCTGCGCAGGTCGCACCCCCGTGGGCACAGCGAGGTCCCGAGGTGATCCGCGTGGGACGCACCTCCGCTGGGCCTCCCAGGAGCCGACGAAAGTGGCGACAGTTGCGCAGATCGCAGCCTCCAGGGCACCGCGAGGTCCCGAGGTGATCCGCGTGGGACGCACCTCATCTGGGCCTCCCAGGAGCCGACGAAAGTGGCGACAGCTGCGCAGGTCGCAGCACCCAGGGCACCGCGAGGTCCCGAGGTGATCCGCGTGGGACGTACCTCCGTTGGGCCTCCCAGGGGCGGCATTTGCGCAGATCGCAAGCCCCCCAGGGGCGGCGGAGTCCCGAGGTGATCCGCGTGGGACGCACCTCCGCTGTGCCTCCCAGGAACCCACGAACGTGGCGACATTTGCGCAGATCGTTGCCCCCAGGGCACCGCGAGGTCCCGAGGTGATCCGCGTGGGACGTGGCTCCGCTGGGCCTCCCAGGAGCCCACGAACGCGGCGACAGTTGCACAGAGCGCAGCCCCCAGGGCACCGCGATGTCCCGAGGTGGTCCGCGTGGGACGCACCTCCGCTGGGCCCCCCAGGAACCAACGAAAGCGGCGACGGATGCACAGATCGCAAGCCCCCCAGGGGGCGGCGAGGTACCCAGGTGGTCCGCGTGGGACGTGCCTCCGCTGGGCCTCCCAGGAGCCCACGAAAGTGGCGACGGTTGCGCAGATTGCAAGCCCCCCAGGGGGCGGCGAGGTCCCGAGGTGGTCCGCGTGGGACGCGCCTCGGCTGGGCCTCCCAGGAGCCCACGAAAGTGGCGGCAGTTGCGCAGATCGCAAGCCCCCCAGGGGCGGCGAGGTCCCGAGGTGGTCCGCGTGGACGTGCCTCGGCTGGGCCTCCCAGGAGCCCACGAATGTGGCGACAGTTGCGCAGATCGCAAGCCCCCCCAGGGGGCGGTGAGGTCCCGAGGTGGTCCGCGTGGACGTACCTACGCTGGGGCTCCCAGGAGCCCACGAAAGTGGCGACAATTGCGCAGATCGCAAGCCCCCCAGGGGGCGGCGAGGTCCCGAGGTGGTCCGCGTGGGACGTGCCTCGGCTGGGCATCCCAGGAGCCCGCGAAAGTGGCGACAGTTGCGGAGATCGCAAGCCCTCCAGGGGGCGGCGAGGTCCCGAGGAGGTCCGCGTGGGACGTGCCTCGGCTGGGCCTCCCAGGAGCCCGCGAAAGTGGCGACATTTGCGCAGATCGCAAGCCCCCCAGGGGACGGCGAGGTCCCGAGGTGGTCTGCGTGGGACGTGCCTCCGCTGGGCCCCCCAGGAGCCCACGGAAGTGGCGACAGTTGCGCAGGTCGCAAGCCCCCCAGGGGGCGGCGAGGTCCCGAGGTGGTCCGCGTGGGACGCGCTTCCGCTGGGCCTCCCAGGAGCCCACGAAAGTGGCGACAATTGCGCAGATCGCTGCCCCCTGGGCACCGCGAGGTCCCGAGGTGGTCTGCGTGGGACGTACCTCCGCTGGGCGTCCCAGGAGCCCACGAACATGGCGACGGTTGCGCAGATCGCAAGCCCCCCAGGGGGCGGCGAGGTCCCGAGGTGGTCCGCGCGGGACGTGCATCCGCTTGGCCTCCCAGGAGCTTACGAAAGTGGCGACAATTGCGCAGATCGCAAGCCCCCCAGGGGGCGGCGAGGTCCCGAGGTGGTCCGCGTGGGACGTGCCTCGGCTGAGCCTCCCAGGAGCCCACGAAAGTGGCGACAGTTGCGCAGATCGCAAGCCCCCAAGGGGGCGGCGAGGTCCCGAGGTGGTCTGCGTGGGACGTACCTCCGCTGGGCCTCCCAGGAGCCCACGAAAGTGGCGACAAATGCACAGATCGCAAGCCCCCCAGGGGGCGGCGAGGTCCCGAGGTGGTCCGCGTGGGACGTGCCTCGGCTGGGCCTCCCAGGAGCCCACGAAAGTGGCGACAGTTTCGCAGATCGCAAGCCCCCCAGGGGGCGGCGAGGTCCCGAGGTGGTCCGCGTGGGACGTGCCTCGGCTGGGCCTCCCAGGAGCCCACGAACATGGCGACGGCTGCTCAGATCGCAGGCGGCGAGGTCCCGAGGTGGTCCGCGTAGGACGTGCCTCCGCTGGGGCCCCCAGGAGCCCACGAAAGTGGCGACAGTTGCGCAGATCGCAAGCCCCCCAGGGGGCGGCGAGGTCCCGAGGTGGTCCGCGTGGGACGTACCTCCGCTGGGGCTCCCAGGAGCCCACGAAAGTGGCGACAGTCGCGCAGATCGCAAGCCCTCCAGGGGGCGGCGAGGTCCCGGGGTGGTCCGCGTGGGACGTTCTTCCGCTGGGCCTCCCAGGAGCCCACGAAAGTGGCGACAGTTGCGCAGATCGCAAGCCGGCGGCGAGGCCCCCGCAGGGGAGCCCACGGCGACAGCAGATCCCGAGGTGGTCAGCGTGGGACGTGCCTCTGCTGGACTCCCAGGAACCCACGAAAGTGGCCAGATCGCAAGCCCCCCAGGGGGCGGCGAGGTCCCGACGTGGTCCGCGTGGAACGTACCTCCGCTGGGGCTCCCAGGAGCCCACGAAAGTGGCGACAGTTGCGCAGATCGCAAGCCCCCCAGGGGGCGGCGAGGTCCCGAGGTGGTCCGCGTGGGACGTGCCTCCGCTGGGCCTCCCAGGAGCCCACGAAAGTGGCGACAGTTGCGCAGATCGCAAGCCCACCAGGGGGCGGCGAGGTCCCGAGGTGGTCCGCGTGGGACGTACCTCCGCTGGGCCTCCCAGGAGCCCAAGAAAGTGGGGACAGTTGCGCAGATCGCAAGAACCCCAGGGGGCGGCGAGATCCCGAGGTGGTCCGCGTGGGACGTGCCTCGGCTGGGCCCCCCAGGAGCCCACGAAAGTGGCGACACTTGCGCAGATCGCAGCCCGACGGCACGAGAGAAGAGGAGAGGGGAACACAGCAAACAGGAGAGGAGGAGTGGAGGAGAGGGGAGGAGAAGACGGAGGCCGGGGCGACCACACTGCTCTATTCAAAACGAGTATTCAACCATAGGAGGGTTGGCAAGAATCAATGGACGCCCTGGGGTCTCAGGGTTCGGTTTCTTGTGGAAGGTTTCTTGTGGTCGAGCTCCTGATGGAAACCACCTCCGCCCAGAGGGCAAACGTGATTCGAATGGTTAGGGTAGAGTGCGAACCCGATGCGAACCATGTGTTGAAAGCTCTCCATCTTATCCCCGGTGAGACAGACCTCATTATCCAAAGCGTTGTCTGTAGGATAGATACGCGATTATACGATCTTGCTGCCACCGCGTTGATCTATTGGGTCTTCTCTTTCCCCCATCGATCTCTCTGCCCCCTTATCCCGCTCTTCTCTCCTCCCCTGCCTTCCCCATTTCCCCTCTTTCCCTTTCCATTCATCCTGTTCCACGCCTCCCTCCCCCCGCTCCTTGTTGTCCCCTCCTTCCTTCGCCGCTTCCGTCCCCCTTCCCTCCCAGCCGAACTCCTGACTGCAGTTGGGCTGGTCGTGGCCGATGTCAACCACCCTCAACACGCCGATGAGCCATTGCCCTTCGTTTTCGTCGGAGGCACAGCGGGGGGGATGCAGGAGAGGCTGCAGGGACGGCTGTCGGCAGCGGCTTGCTCTCGCGGATTCTTCGGATGAGTAGGCGATCGTAACATGAGGGGGGGCAAATCGCCTTGTGGAAGTGGAGGATCGATATGCTTGGGGACGTTTTTTTTGAGTACGGAGGCCTCCACGGACCTAGGGGGGCCGCGTGTCGCAATAGGGGCCGCTGAGCTGTTCCATTTTTCGGGTGCGACGCAAGGGCGCGCAGTTAACCACGCTGGTGCAGCACGAAGCGCTACGTTAGGTCACATTAATCATGGACCTGGCGGCAGTCAAATGGAATCCGGTCTGTCTCAGAAGTTATATTGTTGACGTTTCGCGTATCTCCACCCGCTAACATCAGTCCTCTGGGCCTGGGAGGCTGCTCCATATGCAAGTTGCACAGGGAACTTGCTGGTACAGATGAGGGATTTGGCTGCCCACACTATGGCAGTCGTGCAGTATATCGGAGGCGGAATCGCCATGTCCAACCGTCGCCTTGACGAGGACCTTCCCGCTTCCCCAGCCCCCGGCACCGTGCTCATCCCTCCCTCCATGTGCGATGACAGGTTCCGCAAGAAGCAACAAGATGCCAGCTACAACTGCGACGAGTGCACCAACGCGGGGATCCAAGGCACAGCCGGCACCTGGGAAGACGACGACACGAGAGATTTGCTGGCACAGAACCGCGCCCAGGCCTACACGCAGGGACTGAATTGCAGGTGGCTTTGCGAACTGTGTTGGGTCAAGTCCCTGGAAAAGAAAGGAGTCGAGGTTCCCCTCCCCATCCACATGGACGGCGGCACTAAGAAGTCCCTGCTGCAGCGCCTGCAGGAGCACAAGCGCAGACTGGAAGAGGCACGCTTTCGCAAGAAAGCTCGGACCCTCCCCCCCTTGGCCAGGCTACCAGTCGGGTACGGGCGACCGAACATCGCGCCAACCCCTTTCATCCTGAAGGACCTCGTCATGTGCACACCTCCTGCATTCCAGCCACAAAAAGGCGGCACCACCCTCCCAGCTCACAGGCTGTCTGACGGCAGGTTTGGGTCAGATTCGCACCGCACGAGCTTGTTCACAGCAGTGTGCGACGCATGCCCCCCCGGGGCTCCTCGGCTTGTCTGGGAAACCGGCCGCCCCGCTCTTGGATGTTTCACGTGGCGCCCCGAGCCAGGGGCACCGTGCAACGAGCAGACAGGCCTGCCCCCGTGGGACACGATGCCCACCCTCTGGACCAGGCAGCAGTGGAACGCGGGATGGGCCTGCAGAAGGTGCCTCATCCACATATGGAATGTGGCGCCAGGCATCCCCGACCACATCCTCGACCACCACTCGTCCGAGGTGTACCCCACTGCTCCCACCAAGCGGAAGACTACAGCGGAGGTGCCAGAAGACAGCTACGACATGTGCGCACACTTCTCCCCAGCAGGAATCTGTGCGTCGGTGAATGACGCATTCTCACGACCCACGCCCCGCGAGGATGGCGCGTCACCACATGACATGGAGATCAGCAACTCTGACGGCCAACCGGGAGCAGACGGCAGGGCCTCCAGCAGCAGCAGCTCGTCATTTCCCAAAGTGCCTCCACCCGTGTGCCCCTTCTTACCCACGCTCTCCACCCATCGTCTCGCCGGGGTGGAGTCTGATGGCCCGGTCCACGCCCTGGTCAAGTACATCATAGAGTGGAACCACGCGGTCTATATCCGATGGGCCACCTACGCACAGCAACGCGGCGAGAATATCAAAGGCGACATAACCGACGAGGCGGGATGGCCGACTGAGCGGTTGCCCCCCTTCCTGCTCGCGGTGTACGGAGAGGCAATCCCAGAGAACGGACACCCCCCGCGCGCCCCATGGGACGGACAGCGCGCCGCAGCAGCCAGAGTGGTCTCACACCTGGCGGGCAAGAACCAGAAGTACAAAGAATAGTGGGATCGCTACGCAGACAACCTCACCGACCAGAAGGGGCAGTGCCCCTTCCGACAGCCGTTTCACATCCTCATGGTCTTCCTGACAAGGTTGGAAGGCTCCGCGCTGGCCAGGGGCACCATCAACCACCTTGCCGCCCTGCCCTTGGAGACGGCAGCTAGCAGCTCAGGCGGGGGTGAGTCACCAGCAGCCAGCTGGCTCAACAGGACCACCAGCAGCAAGGAATCCCCCGCGGCGGAACGCCGAGTGGAGGCCCAAGGAGCACCCCCGACCCGCACCGTCGCGCCACCCCCACAGCCTGCTGAGGCTAACGGGACTCCTGCACCCCAGGCAGAGGGACAAACCCCACCGGGACATTGCAAAGGCGAAGGCGACGTGGAAGGGGTTGATTGGGGAGAAGAGGGGGGCAGAAAATCCGAGTCAGACGTCCACGCGCGCTCGGGCCCGCGCGACATCTCCGTGGACTCCAGCTCGCAAGTCAGCCCCGCCCACCCCGACGACGACCTAAGTGACACAGCTCCCCCTGAGGATTGCAAAGTGATCCATGACCCCCTCCAGCTCTGGGAAACACCTCCCGACAGGACCGACTCAGAAGTCTGGTCCCCATATGTGCAGGCCGCCTCCAGGGAAGCAGTCAGAGATAGGAACGCCCCAGGCGACCTTCGTAGCAGGGATGAGCGGATCCGGAGCCTGAACGACGCCCGGGACAACAGGTCTCTGAGATATGCGGATGGCGAAGGTAGCCAGCGACCACCTGCGATAGATGAAATCAGGGTCAGGGAACGCTCGGCCACCCCACCCCCATGCGACGTCTCTCGGCTACCGCGCGCCACCCGGGCCTCCTGGCACGACGCGCGGAGAGCGCAGCCACCCGCCGAACACCCTGGCGATCCCATGGGAGGCATCCCCATGTATATGTGTCCGGTTTACCAAGCGGACGTCTCAAGGGACGAGCCGGCACCAGACAAGATCTCACGTCTGCAGAAGACGTTGGGAGGTGCGTTCAACGGAGTTCGGGCGCCTGGGTCAAGAGGGCAGCCTCGAGGCAAGGGTGCCACTGTACCAAGCTTGATCCCAAGCTAAACTCCGTACAGCAGCGCAGCGATTTCCTCCAGGCATGGAGCAAAGCGGAATTCGATGCCTATAAGATGGGAAGAGAGTTCAAGCTCCGCGTCGACTGGTCGAGCGTCAAGGATCGACACCGCAGGCTCCTGCAACGCGACGCCAGACCGCACGCCTCTCGCGGGGTCGACAGCAGTGATCGCCCACCCCCTGGAACCACAGCGGGCAAGGGGGCGGCGCGTACGGCCCCGCCAGATCAGTGGACCGGTGCATCTAGCTCAGCCCCGCCGTGGCTCGGATGGCAGTCATGGGACACGCGGGGGCGCCAAGGTGCGCAATGGACCGAGACAGACTGGAAGGCGAAGGGCAAGCGCTATTCTCCCAGAGGAGATCACCCGCACGCGGACAAGCGTCCACGAGGTTGGGACTCCTGATCCAGATGACGGGGGCGCAACCAGGGACCCGTGCGAGACTGGCCCATCCCCCCCGGCTAGCGAAGGAGCACCCACCGCCGTGGTTGGCACCCTCTACTCAGGATTGCCCACAACCTAGGCACTGAGCAGCTCCCAGAGGGCCCCAACCGCGACGACGCCTCCCTCGAAGGCAGTCAGCGAACCGGTGATCGCCACGGCCCACCACCTATCGCGCTGCCTGTTACGTGCAGCACACTCCACCTCTTTCCCCACCGTGGCCCCTCTCCGGCATTCGCCGCCCCCCCCCCCCCCAGACAGTTTCATTTGCAGCGCCCGGCCTTGGCCGCAATGCCCTGTGCTACCTCCGATGGGGCGGAGGGGCGCCAATCCTTTCGCTGCGCAGATAGACAGCCCGCGCTGGACTCGTGGACCTTGCAGCGCCCGGCCTTGGCCGCAATGCCCTGTGCTACCTCCGCGGGGGCGGAGGGGCGCCAATGCCCTTGCGCTGCACACATGGACAGCCCACGCTGGATTCGTGGACCTTGCCAGGCCTTTCCTTCCCTGCGGCCGACTGCCGCGCGGGACCTCGGCCACTGCCTCCCTCGGTGGAGGCCACTGCCAGCGCGGGCTCTGGGGCCGTCTGCGCCATCTCCCCAGGACGGCCCCCTTTGGACGGCAGTGACTGGTGGCTGAAATAACCCACCTCCTGCGCCCCACCTCTTTCACAGCACAGTGGACGGCGGCGGTTGGTGAACGACATTACCCGCCGCACCGCCCTCGCTCAGCCCCGCCCCCCCGTGGTCATGAAGTTCTGTGCATGGATGCCCTGTGTATCGTTATCTGTGTTCAGCGGCTTTTGGCTGCGCCCCCTCCTCTCTTCTTCTCATTCGCAACGTCTCTGCGGCTTTTGGCTGCGCCCCCCCCCCGATGACAGCCTGGATTGCATCGGGCGCAGAAGAACGCTCGCCCTGAGACCTGCCCAGGGAGCATCGGCCCCTCGTCGCCGACCCAGCAATGGTTCTACAGAGGACGCCTTGGCACGTCAGCGCGCAGCCAGCGATCGGCGCAGCCCAGCAGCTCGGCAGCTGCCAGCCACCTGCATGCCCTGGCGTCGGAGGCTTCCGGCTTCTACATGGGCAGCGTGGCAGGAGTTGAGTGGAGGCGGCTGTCCTCCATACACAGGGTGACTGGCTTCGTCGAGCGGCCCCGCATCGAGTGGTTCAGTCTCCGCGTCCAGCGGCTTTGGCGGCGCCCCCTCCTCCTCCCCCTCCTCCCATTCCTTCATTCGCAACGTCTCTGCGGTTTTCGGCTGCGCCCCCCCCCCCCCGATCAACTGCGAAGATTGCATCGGGCGCAGAAGAGCGCCCGCCCTGTGACCTGCCCAGGGAGCATCGGTCCTTCGTCGCCGACCCAGCCATGGCGCTACTACAAGGACGCCTTGGCACGTCAGCACGCCGCCAGCGAACGGTACAGCCCAGCAGCTCGGCAGCTGCCAGCCACCGGCATGCCCTGGCGTCGGAGGCATCCGGCTTCTGCATGGGCAGCGTGGAGGTGGTAAGTGAGTGTAGCTGTCCTCCAT